AACTTTACAAAAAGAGAGAAGTTGCCGATCTTGCCCCTATACCCGGGGCAACTTCGTCAATTTCTCTCTTCTTGTAAAGTTGTAATTATTTTAATTATTTTTATTTCCAAACTGATTTTAACCAGTTCTATAGTAAGGTAACATTCCAATAGACAATATGCAAAGCTTTTTTTTCAGTTTACAGCAGTATTTATTATACAAAATTTAAGTAAAGCTTAACATGCCGATCTTGCTCCGCTCCCCTATATATATAAAACTATATTACATATAAATGTACTAACAAATAAAAACCCAGCGAAGCGGGTACTTGCAGCTAGTCTTATATAATATTTAATTTTGATTCTTATTTTCATTTCATTCATTCATTTATTTTATTTTATTTTACTTTCTATTTTCTCTGCCATTATATTATTGTATATACCCCTTCTATGACCATCTACTATGTATTTTTCTGTATTTCTGCCTGATTGTGCTCAGAGGAGCCAGACAATAAAGATTATTTTGACTGACTGACTGACTGACGTAGGAAGAATCATTGTCCGTTGTTTTGTCAGGCAGAATCGGAGACTAAAGATGCACTATGTCAGGTACTGTACAACTTCCTTTCGATCGCCCCGAGCTTCTGGTAGCTTTCGCTTTTGTCCTATTGTCGTGGCAAAGGGGATACGTGATCGTCAGCTGTTGAAGATGCTTTGCTTTTTTTACCGGTTAGTTTTCACGTTTTCCCTTGCCTTTTTTTTTTTCCACCCGTTGCTTTTTTCCTTGTTTTTCGTTTTTTTTTTTTTTTTTTTTTTTTGTCAAGGATGTTTACAATTAACTTTCTGACAAATGCGTTAAATTCGCGGATTTCACACATGCAAAGTTTTAAAATTTTAACTATAACGTTTGTTTATAATTTAAATATGTAAAAACCAAATACTTTCTAAATATTTAATTCTAAACTTTTAAATAAGTGTTAAACAATAGTAGATATTTTTAATGTTCTAGAATTATTATACTCAAATGGCAAGAATATGGACAACGCAAAACTTGACAATTTGCAAAAAATGATGCATCTTATTCCAGCATATTGCAACATTTTAAAAGAGCTCAAAACCTAACAGTGGGATTACTGAAGACAAGCCAGTTTTCAAATTCATGGTCCGAATTAATTAATGTGTCCGGTTTTCGTAGAAATTATGATGAAACAAAATAAATTTATAAAAATATTTGCCAGTATTTTATTTCAACGGTTAAACACTTTGATTTTACACTCTTACCCAAACTTATCTTCATTATATTGCTAGGCTAAGAGTGACAGATAATACACTTTTAAAATTCTAACTTGCAAACATCTCTGGAAAATATTAAGTTTGTTTCAACACAAGTCCCTAATTTAAAATTGACATGCGAGCATTGTTCAGTTCTTGGCTGTAAAATAACATTGAACATGCCCCGTACGGTTTCAAATTCAAACCAGTCAGAGATTCGTGTTGTGTTGGTATGTGTTCCTACTTTATTCCTACTTTTATGTATTATTTTTACAATTAATATCGACATCGGGCTGTTATTATTCTTGGATATGCAACATGTGATTATAGTATTAGTTTAATAATATATCATGTACATGTTTACCTTCTAATAAAAAAAATATTTATTTTCTACTCACAATAAAAAACTAATTTTTTTTTGTAAGTATAACATCGTAATTTAAAAATGTAGGGATTAGTAATTTTGAAAAGATGGCAACACTGACTGAAAATGTTGTGACTTTAACATGAGGCATAATGATTTTCATAGTGACAAAAATGACATTTAATGTATGTAATGTGTTTTTATTTATCCTGAAGATTTTTTGAAATAAAAAAAATAGTAAATTGTTAAGTTTTCCAGCAAAGGCTTCGCCAGCCAATGGGCCAGGGGGACAAGATAATATAGATTGATACACGATATGAATTGTATGTAGGTAAAATAAAAACGATTCATAAAGTTCTAATCATTTACTATGTACTGGAGAAGAAATATCTTAATTAAACATTTTTTTAAACTTAGAAGAAGCCTAAAAAGATTATTTTAATTAAAACTTAGGATTTAAATAATTTTTTCGAATTTCTAGGGTAGGGCAGCTGCCTTCCTCCCGCTCCACTCCTTTGGCGATGACCTTGTTTGCCAGTATTGTCGATTCAATCCTTTTTTGACCAATTTCTCGAAAAGAAATTTTATCTAACTCCGAAAATTTATACAATTTCTGTCGAATAGAAATTAGTAACGCTTTATATTAAAAACATCATTCGAAATTACTGTGTGGAATAAAATGTGAAAATATTTCTGATCTGTGATTTTTGAAAATGAGAATTTGATTTACTCAGTTTACGCATGTTGAAGATTGATAGCTTTAATTAATTGCATAGCATAACTGGATTAAATTAATACTTTCACAAAGCAAAATAAATTACACGTCAGTGTAATTTTATCACTAGTTATTTTTAAGTAATAAAAATTACAATGTTTCTTTCTGCACTGGGTTGGGACAGAAAGCAACTTTTTACATCTTAAAGTGCATGCTTTTTACATCTTAAAAAATAATTGATGTGTTTGATTTTTGTAATTTTGAACAAAATATTACATTGTAAAATACTAAAAAATAAATTTGTTTAATCCGAATTTTCGGTTATTTCAGGTAGCTTTGGTCCACAGTATTACCTTGATTTATTATAGTATTACCGAAAGTAAAACCTTGAATAATCAGGATTTTACTGCTAATAATAAAGAAAGCAATACTACTAGCGACTGTTCGTAAACTAAAAGCAGATGAAGCCGTTTCTCTAACCTCTATTTACTATTTACATTCTTTTGGCTTATCTTTCAGTTTTATTTCTGAGTCTTCATCAGAAAAATGTTCTCTGACGAATATAAATCAAATTTTTAATGTGAAAGATGAGAGTTTTGATGCCATACAGTGAGCTGCAGAAATAAGTATATTTCGTGTTTATATTTCGTAATAAAAACGTTTATTAAAAGAAATAAAACATTTGTATCTATAAGTTTTTGTTACAGTCTGTCTACGAAAATTATACAACTTGGGTATAAACCAATGAGCGTCAGCCTTTGATCGCATTGTTGGGGCAAGTTAGTACCAAATTCTTCCATACATGTTAAATATTTCACTGCCATTATAAACAGTGTTATGCAAGCTTCACGTTCTAGTATTGAAATAGAAGGATGTTCCCTATAGTAGTTGTTACTAATGATCCTTCACTATTAACGCATGTTACAAAAATGGTTACTGGACAATTAATGGAAAAGTTGTACTGCCATCTAATATTAAAAAATAAAATAAAATTCATGGATTGCCTAGCATATCAAGCGAAATGATCTGATATTATTAGAAAATGTGATGATTGGTTTAACACTCATGGGTTTTTTACTCAAGTCGATTGTTTCCACAGAAAGACTATAAAACTCATAACTGACGACATCCGGTTGACGAGTGATTAGGATGGCACTTAATTTTCTGAGAGGCTGGGAATCGAATACAAACGAATAAAATCATCCCAGAAAATTTTCAAAGCGTGGTTGATTCCCATATGTGGGAGAACCTTTCTCACCAACATTCAGTCCTTTGTAAGCTTGGCCGCATTGATAAAGAACAGATCCGACAAAATCCATAATGGACGTGCTAAAAACAGAACCCTCTTAGTGCTTACAGAGCGGAACTTTTATAAAATGTTTACTATATATACCAATAATAATTTAACAAATAAATAACAAGCAACAGTAATTATGCTCGCATAAGATTTATTTTCCTATATCAGTAAAATGCAAATCATTACATATTTTCAAAAGTTGATTTTGTTCACTTCCTTTTACCGTTACAATTTTCTTTTGTAGTTATATAATCAGGAAGACCGTAACACCAACATTTGTAAGACCAAGGACATACTCCACCTTCAGCATTATTGGCTTTGCAGGCAGAGTCGCAAGATGAGTTATTCTCACATCTAATTCTGCAACCATTTTTATTCACTAGATAATCGTTCGTAATACAATTTACATCTAAATAAATATAAAACAGTCTTTATACATTTAAGTTTAATCATTGTTTTACCTAAATTGTATGTGTTGAATCAGATAAGTAGCTACACGCTTGATCTCATGGTGCTCTTTACACTATTTGATTTACTAGAGATAGAATAGAATTTGCAACTCAAGTATAATTAAGTACATGTAAAGTAAACCACACTTATTTTATTGCTTAAAACTTTTTTCCGGGAAAATATATATAATATTGTCAGCACACGATGTGATGAATTGTGTGGCCATTTTTCTGATTCATTCTATGAAACTATTAATTCATTAATATTAGCACTTTTTATTTATTTTTACTAAATAAATAAAAATATAAAGAAAATTTTTACTCAATATTAACAGAGCTGCAACCAAACTCAATATAAAATAGTTCATTTTGAGTCTTCTGATAAAGTATGAATTCTTCGAAGATGGCTTTTTCGAATTGATCTTTTCAACTCTATTTATACAAAGTGAATACATAAAACACATATGGGCGAATAATTATATTAGGTAATAAAAATGATTTAATTTGAAGAAATAAAGTAATATTGCGATAATTATCCATTAAATTTATACCTAAAGCGATTATTATTCTTTTAAAATACGAGAAGACAGCTGAGAAAACTATAAATTCGTATTAGTATATATAATTGCTGTGTAATTAAATAAACTTTGTTAAAATTAAAAATTCATATAACTGTTTCATTTTATTAATTATTAAACAAGGAGAGATACGTCTAGTTTGATATAAAACAATATAACAATTCTCCTTTAATGTCATAATGCTGAAACGTATTTGAAAGATTGTACTAAAAAATTTTATTATTCAGTGAAGATGAATATTGGCATTCTTGTAAATTTTTTATTCGAAAAGAATATCTATAATTAAAAAATTACACATTATTTTAACAAATGAAAACTTTATTATTTTAGAAATAGTAAATTAGTTATCGTGTATTTTACGAATATTAGACAAACCCCCATTTAAGCTAAGAGTAATTAAAGAAAAATAACGACAACCTGTATGTTCGACAACCCATTCTTTCGGCTTCAATTTTTTCTTTTTACTGTATTCTGGTTACAAAATCAAAACTAAAAACACACTTTTACTTATCGGTGTAAAAGATAAATTAAAAAACGTCCTAATATACAGTTAAAATTTTTCATTGAACTATTTAACATGAATGCAGTGTTACCATCCGGACAGTCCGGGAATCGACTCACCGGACTAACCGTCCGGGTGAATTATTAATTTTACTGGGGATACCGTGCGCGACCTGTCGATTTTTTTTTCNCTAGGCAACAGTCTGCAAAGACCGCTCACGTTATCGTTTCGGATAGCTTTTTAATGAGTGGCGAGGGGGTTGAGCAAGTCGGCAGGTGTTCGTAGTTCGGAGTGACAGGAGACAGGTTTAACAAATAAACAAAGCATTTATTATATGACTAACTCTGGATTACAGGATATTATAGGAGGCTAGATACGGTTAAATACTGACAAAGTTATATACAAAAAGGGTAGCTCTTTAGCTATGCCTATTCCCATTAGCTGTGGAAAGAGTTCATAGATCGCTATCAAAAATACCTGTATGCGGGAAGTATGCGACGATCGGTCGATAGGAAGAATCACTTATTCCATCTTGCTGCTAATTACTTTGAGGATAGAGAAGCAATTATCTCTCTGGGGCATCGTCAATTTACACGTAAGCTACAACGCGGCTATCCACAGGGGTCTGTTTGTGGGCCCCTGTTCTGGGATATTTTATTCGATAACATCTTACGTACCGACTTCGGCAACCAATGTCGTGTTTATGCATATGCAGACGATGCCTTTGTGGTTTTCCTTGCCCCATCAAGAAACTACATAGAAAAGGCAGTCACCGATGTTCTTAAAAAAGTGTATAACTGGGATGTGAGAAATAACTCAGTTTTAACATGACAAAGACTAAAGGATTGGTTTTCTCCTCTCCGGGCACCCCTGACCTTTACAGACGTGTACCTTGTATCAGGTTTTGTAATAAGTCGATAAAAGTTGTAAGTCATTTCACTTTCCTTGGGGTTTTGATTGATCATAAACTCTCCTAGAAACAGCATATAAAACACATTACTAGTCGAAGTAACTTTATCTTTAATGATCTTTTAAGGATTGCCAGATGGAAGTGGGACCTCGGTTTTGAGGCAGCTAATGACATATATGATTTCCTGTTTTTACCAATTATCTCATATGCATCTGTTGTTTGGAGTGCTGCTGCCTCTCAATCTCATAACCATCAGCGTCTGAGGTCTACACAGCGGATTGCCTTATTACGACTTACCAGGTGCTATTCCACTGTTTCAAATGCAGCCCTCCCTGTGGTGTCTGGGAAGCTCCCCATCCTCCAATTTCTCCAATTTAATAGCAAACGTTTCTGTATCTCTAGGGGCAGGGATGTTGATATTAATTGAACCATCTTTAATGCCACCTTGTTTGAATTAGACAGGCCTGTATCTACACTCCCACATCCTGCCTTAAGGAAGGGACTCTCTCCTCTTGTTACTTCTACAGAGATTGAAGCTTTTACAGATGGATCCAAGTCAACGGACGGCACGGCAAGTGCCTTTGTGATCTTTCAGGCTGGTGAAGAGGTTTACATTGATTCCTTTGCTCTACACCCGGAATACTCTGTCTTCCAAGCTGAGATCTTCGCTGTATTGATGGCAATCAACTGGTTGCAACTCTAACGTTGTGAACAAATCGATAAACATTTTCACAGACAGTGCTGCGACTGTTGCTACCTTGGAGAATAAAGATAATACTCACCCTGTTGCGAACGACATCTTCGCTGCAGCTTCTACGTCTTTTAACAAGTATGCCGTTAATTGGATCAAAGGACACAGCGGCATTCCGGGTAATGAACTGGCTGACTTTCTGGCGTTGTCTTACCTTATCTGGGACAATGCTTTGGAAACCTGGCAACAGGATTGGGACAAGATCCCACAACAACACATAACAAGACGTTTTATCCTAAAGGTCAAGGAATGCGTTCACAGCAAATGGATTCAACCCACACATGATTTAGCCCAATTTTTGACAGAATACGGGCGCTTTCGTGTTTACCTGTAAAGGTTTCACCACTCTAATTCTGACTGCAGTAAGCTGTGTGGGGTGCCGGACGGTGTCATGCACTATTTATACAACTGTCCTATGCTGGATGACATCAGGTATCAGTGCATGCAGCATGCCAATATGAACAATATAGACTGGCCAGTAAAGCCTGATTTTTTCTTACAAAACAACAGCAACTTTAACTTGTTAAAGGAATTTGTTTCACTCTACTCTGTTAGATGTGAGATCCGTTGACCCGATCTCTTGTGATCTGATTCACTCTAGCCTTGATGCCAATGTATATTCACACCTTGCTCTGCTATAACAGCATGTAGACCTTCATGTACAGAAATGTTACTTTAGTTATAGTATAGACTACTTTTATTTTTATTCTTTTATATTTTTAATCTTTTATATTTATTTATTTTATTTTATTTTACTTTCCCTTTTCTCTGCCATTATATTATTGTATCCCTTCTATGACTAACAGCATGTATCTAAAATGTGTTTTTCTGTATTTTTGCCTGGCTGTGCTCAGCAGTGCCAGACAATAAAGATTATTTTGACTGACTGTACATCATCACAGAGTTTTCTGTTACAGCAGAGTAAAGGTAGACAATACACACGAACAAAATTTGAATCATTATCATATAATTAATGCAGTAAAAATTACTCATCATCGACATTAAAAAAAATTAAGTTTCAAACATCAAAACCTGACTTAAAGAAAAATGAATATACAGCAGAACTATTAAGTCCATTACATTTACTTGGAATAACCATATTATTTTACATTCTAGCATTAGTAAGTGCACAAGAATCCCATGCACTCAATAACAGAGTGGTTTTTCTTTCAATCTTATCAAATTGGAACCATTCTTGGCCAGAATTAAAACTTTTTCATTTGTGAGTGTCTAAAACAATCAATTTCTATATTGTCTGACTTCTGGAGATAAAAATATTTGAGTTTGTCAAGTAAAAATGAGCTAGGTCATAAAATCACAATTAGTCAAACTTGGTTAAAACAAACAAGGATATAATGAGTTCACGATTATAGAGAGCAAAGCACCATAACAATTTTACACCAATTAATTTATGCATACTTCCATACATTTTTTTGCGGTTATTATGAGAGTACTTCACAGACATAGAGTAAATTTTTGGTAGCTATACAAACACACAAACATTCTTAATTGTTCAAGTAGTAAGAAATG